TGAATTCTATTTCAAATCCGGTATAATTAAGATGAATGATATATTAACTCAGAAGCAAAATTGATATAAAATCGATAATAAAAAATTATTTAGCTCTATCAGTATTAATAATAAAAATAATATGATGATGGTAAATGGTAAAACAAACAAGAATTGAAGATAATTTTATAAAAATAGATAGCATTAAATTTAAGATAGTTTAATATAGAAAAAATTATAATCAAAATTATAATCAAATAATATATTATATGTTCTTGAATTAAATGATAATTTAATATTTTTAATTATTTAAAAAAATTACTGATAACAGCTTCAAAATAGAGTAACGATAATAGAAGCAATATAATAAAAAGGAATGAAATAATTATAATTGCCATCAGCTCAAAGAATTTATAAATTCTTAATTTATAATTCTTAATTTATTATATATATTATATATATTATAATTTCTTAATTTATTATATTAGATTAAGAATGAATTATAAAGTATTGTTAACATTCAACAATCAAAAATAATTGCATACAATTCACAGCACAGATTATATATAAAGATCCGCATGTTATACATAGAATAATTAAGAAAGATTAGTATCAAACATAATAAAAATGTACTATTGCATTAAAAAAAATAATAATAATAAAAAATAAAATAAATCTAGGAAACTACTCAATATAATACAAAAAATGTATTCACATTGATTGATGATTATGAAAAAAGAGATTTAATTATTAGCGCATAAATCGGAAATATATAAAAAAATAAATTTAATAAAAAATCAGAAGTTATTAAAAACAAAAAAGATAAATAATTTGATATTAATGCTGAACTAATATACTATTTAAGAAATAAAGGAATAGAATTGGAACTTTATTCACTGTAACAGAATGAGAGAAAAAAAGTGCCTATTATATAATAGATATCTTATTTATTCCAATGATAAGATATTTATTGAAAATGGACTACTGGAAAAAAATATCAAAATAAGATAATAATGATAAAGTTTTTATAAAACCAAATTGTTAAAAATGACTCATATCTTATATATTTGCAAGTGAATTGAATATCATTGGACGCGATTGCTCTTTCGATTTTGTTTTATCTCTTTCACCTTTTCTGAATTGCTGTGCGATGCAACATAGTAAGTTAAGAGAATAAGTTAAGTTAAGTAGAATAAAAATATAGATATAAAACAATTACAAAAATGTCAAATTATTAAAATCATAATGATCGAAATTATAATGATATAATATAAGGATATCATATAATTAGATATTTTAGATACCACTAATAAATTTATACAAATAGTAAATAAGAGATAATATAATACAATAATAATAAAAAAAAAGATCGCATTCTAACGCATAATCATAATTACATTATACATAGATATTATACAATATTCAATATATTCATAAACTGAATAATGCATATATATCTTGCAGTATAATATATATAAATCTTTATTATTAAAAAATTAAAAAATAATCCTTCAAAATTTTGATTCGATATATTTAATAATCGGATTATATTGTAATGCAACTAAATTTAAACGAATGAAGTAATCGAAATTATAGTGACAGAATTTAAAATAATAGCGATATTAGTATCGTAATTATATTTATTTTTATAACATTGTTCAATTGTAATTTCAATTTTTCAAAAATTATTTTATATTTTCCTATTCAAAGGATTTACGAAATGCAAAAATTGTTCATAAAAATGATATTAATTCATCTATTATACATTTTTTTATCCAGCAATTTATTATATTTTTATAAACAGTTGAAAAAAAACAATATGATAAAGCATATTTTATTACAAACATATAAGCAAAATTCTATAATCTTATTTATCCTATTAATAAAATTTCAATTCATAAAAAAGTATTTATGAATAAGTATTCCATAAATAAATTTAAATGAACATAAAATATTAACATTTTTTTCTTAAGAGATCAAGATATATATATAAGAGATATATTTGAAATCCATAGTTTAAGATTGTTATTTTTCTGACGAATACTTTAAGATGCTATAAAAAAATAATTTGATTTTAAAAATCATCTTCAAATTCGATTTTGTGATTATTTTTTTCGATAGATTTCTATCGATCCAAAAATAAGGAATCTTCCAAAATCTTCCAATATTGATATAATAATAAATTTTCCATACCTCTTTAAGCAGAATTTAATTGTAACATTGTAAACAGAAACAAAAATTTTCCTAGAGTAACTCAAAAATTAAAATGATAATGTGTAAATTATCTCAATAATAATATATCAAGAAAATACTTAAAACGATGATTTTTGAAATATTTCAAGATCATGAAAATTAATAAAGAGAGAATACCAAAAAATAATCTTTAACAAAAATAAATTAAAAATAAATTTTAATTGAAATGTTCTATATATATATTAATATGGATCTTACCTCGTTTCTAATAGAATTATCCAAGTAGCAAATATCCAGTTCTTGAAGTAAATGTGTTGTTATTTTTATCTATAAAATTCTAAAATTAAATGCATATCTATAGATTAATTCTTTATTTATGATATAAAAAGATATACCTCATTGTAGAATTTAGTGCAATGATTATTTAAAAAAATAATTTTTATAAAAAATAAAAAAATCCATACGAAGAATCCTATAAGTCCTTTATTTGACAATACTTCTGACAATTTTAAGGATATTAAATAAAAATATCCGTTATAAAGCACACTCAATAGTGATGAAAATTGCATTATTAAATCTAATACAATTTGATAAGTATATGCTTGGTTAAGTTCACGTAAAAGTTTCAGAACCTCAAAATGAATATACCTTTAATATATGTGTGTGTATGTATATGTATGTATGTATGTATGTGTGTGAAATGAAATAGTTTAATTAGAAATAAAATAACATCAGTAATCAGTAATTCATTATCATTCATAAGAGAAAAGGGAATAGCCGCAGACATTTAAATAAAGCAAAAAATAAATAAATAATTTATAAATTTTAATGAAATTTTTCTTTGTGAAAATAAACATATGAACTTTTTAATTTATTAAAATAAATTATTTTTTAAAAATACTTTTAGAAAAAAAGATCAGATAAATTAAAATTGAAAAAATTAGTTTACACAATCACAAGAAAATAGTTCACAGCACTACACGTACTTTTTAATTTATATTATTTTTTATATGTACTTAACTCACATATACTTAAAATACATCACAATATAAGCTTGATGCATCAATATTTGCACATTATTTATATATCCAATTTTTGAATTTTTGGATCTCATAACATTTTTTAAAGATTTTTTAATAAAAAATACATTGCATGTGATGATATTCGTTTTGATTAAAAAAATTTTTAATATTTTATTTTTTTCATGACACAATTTATGGTAATCTATTTTATGAAAAGTTTATTCTGCAAAATATTGAAATTTCACTTTTTTGTAATATTTTTTATAGTTAAAATATAAAAAATTTTTTAGAAGTAATAACAAAGATGATAATAATTTAATTGAACTCATTGTATTGTTCGTTAAATCTAGATTCAAAAAAATTTTTTATGAAATTATTGTAGAAAGCTGTTCAAAAATATAAAAAATGATTGATAGATTTTAACTTTTGAATTAATATATGAATCAATTAAAAAATAGTTCAATATCTCTAATAAATACATTATTAAATTTAAAAAACAAATCTGTTTAATGTTATTTTTAATTTAATAAATTTATTAAATTTTTAAATATATTGTTTAAATAATTGTATGACATTTGAGATTTTTGAAAATATTCAGAGATATTGATTGATTTCATCCTATACTTTTACCGTAATTAATATAAATCAAAATTAGGTTAATGAAAATTTTTAAAAATATTATATTGTTAATATTAAAATCAATAAAATATTTAATATTTTTTTATTTATTTTTTTATCTCTTTTTATATTTTTTATATATTTTTCTTTTATTTATTGTCTCTTTTATCTATATTCAATATTAATGATCGTAATATTTTATATAATATTCACAAATATAATAAACATCATTGAAATTTAAATAAATATTGAAATTTCATATTAATAATATCATAGTAATATCACTTTCAATAAAAAGAAAATTGATTTTCTTGATATCTTGAAATCTAATTTGTTTCATATGCATGTTGTTATTAACTTGTAATTGTTAAGCACAAAAAATCGAAAATTATAAAATTATAAAAATTATATTAAAAATATTTGCATCCACTATCTGAAGCTATCAACTTTACTCCTTTACTAAATATTCTAATAAAAATACAAAATTTTATATATTGTTATGAAATTACCTTGTAATTTGAAGAAAATGTTGAACAAAATATTTTCTATTATTATAATCCATTATAATTACAAATTTACATAAAATAAGTGATTGCATGTTATATCTTATATTAATATCTTTTGTATTTGATAACTGATATATCTCTTTTATAATCTTGTTTATCTTATGCAATTTGTCCTGTAAAATACTTTAAAAAAAATTAAAATAATCTGATTTTGGAAACAATAATGATTGAAATAAATATAATGCTATGATTAATATTATAAACTCATCCATATTTTTATAATATATAATTTTCACAAAAACAAAACAATCTTTAAAAAAAATCTTTAAAGAAATCAAAATTTTTAAAGAATTGAAAAAATCTTGTGTATTTCTAGAATGTAATATAAAAGAAAAATAAAGAAATGAAATGAAGAAACAAAATCTGAAAAAAAATATTAAAAATATCTTAAAATTATATTTTTTACATTATTTACGAATAATGTGAATTCAATATGTTATTGTAAATTCTTATATTTAGAATTTAATCAATTTAATAAATTAGAAAGAATTTAATAAATTTTAATTTTATGTAATAATTTTTTATTACCAAGTGATCAAACTTGTAATTGAATAATTTATTCAATCTAAATAATCTATTCTTGGTTCAATCATTTTTATTAATCAATTAGTAGGTTTTATAAATTTAATATAATAAAATTTTATTACAATTTTGATTTAGAGATTTTTTTATTCCGTCCCAAATTTTTTTTTTGTAATTGTCATCATTATATAATGGCAGCTATAAATCATATTATATAAAGTCATCATTAGTTTTCATTAATTCGATGAGCATTTTATTTAAATATAAAAAAATATTTATTATATTGAAATTTTAATTTAAATTTTAATAAAAAATTATCTTATTTTTTTAATGTATAATATATATAATATAATGATATTGATACTAAAAAAAAAGTAATTATTTATTTATCATTATATTAGTGTACATATTTTTTTCATATTTCTAACACTTTTCGTAATAAAAGAAAAATAAAGAAATATATAATAAAATAATAAAATTACTATTACTTAATAGAAAATCACAAATTAATTAATAATAAATCGAGAAACATGTTTACATTATCGATTTAGTTTCGAACAAATCCGAATTTACTCATATAAAATATTATTTTCAAAGATTGTTGCTTGGATGTAATTGAACTGAAATTTAAGTATTACTCGGAAAAATTTTTTCTATTTTATTTATTTAAATAGATTTTATTTCATTATTAATTTTTAGCTTCTCTTATCTATAATATATAATAATAATAATATATAATATATTATATATAATATATAATATATATAATATAATATATAATATATATTCTTGCAAGAATAGAATATGAAATCATCAATTACTAAATTTAAAATTTAGTTTAGCCTCGAAATCAGTTTCGCTTCTTTTTTTAAGCTATTTATTAAAGATGTCGATAAGAATATTATCCTGTTAAATATTAGTTCTTTTATTTTTTTATCAATGTTATGAATGACAATATATAGCTGCATATTTATTGAGTTTATTTAATGTGAAATGTAATATCAATTTTGAGAAAAAGAGTCATTTTAGAAAATTTAAATATCATATATTTTTTTTAATAAAGCTAATATTTTAAAAATCATATCAAAATGAAATTAAAGTCAATAGGAAAATATATTGAAAAAAAAGCATAAAGATAAATATTTTACAGTCTATAATGAGAAAAAAATTTAATTTGTATAGATCTTATGGCTGCAATTATTATTAGCATGATCTAGAAAAAAAATGTTTTATTATAAAAATTTCTAATATTTAATTTTCCAAACAATTTACTTTTATATACTTTTTACAGATCTCATAAAACTGGAATTATATTTCATATTAAATCAAATTAACAATTATTATAAAAATATTTAATGTCATTTATATTCTGCAATTTATTATAATAAAGATAGTTATTAGAAGAAAGATAAAGATTGAGAAAACTATTTTTTGAAAATAGTGATTCTATCAAAGCTATCTATATTCAAAAAAGTTTTTGGAATTAATTCTAAGAAGTTGTTATAGTCACTATTAAATTTTGATTTTAACATCATTAAAAATATTATATTTTGGCAAAAAAATTTATTAGAAAAAAAAACTATAAATTAACAAAGAAATTAAATTAATCATCATTTGAAAATTAAAAAAATATAGGATTTACTTGTATAAAAATGACTCAAGAAAGTTTAAATAACTTAATATTTGTAATTACTTAATCAAAAATGAAAGAAAATTGATTAAATATAAGCATATTAAAATTATATATTGATTTTATCGTCTTAAACACATCATTAAGAGATATTCTATTTTTTATATTTAACAAAAAATTAGAAGAATTTTGTTTCTATATTTCTTTTCTTTTCTTCATTTTTCTGTCATATTATAGAATTACATAAAAATTTTTCAATCTTTATTTTATTCTTGTAAAAATTGTAAAAATATAGATGAATTTATTATTTATATTATAATTATAATATTGTACCATATAAAAAGTAAGTATAAAGAATATTATTATGATTTTATATCTCTGAATCACGATTCTATATCAAAATCAAAAAATAAAAATGAATGTAAGCATGATCTTGATATTAAAAATTAGGCAAATTTTTTTATTGCATCGTATTCTATTCATTGCAAAAATAAAAAAGTTCCAAAGGAACTTATGAATCATAATTCAATTATTCTCTTGAAAAAAAAATATTATATTTCCATTATGAATTCATTTTATTTAAAATTTATTTATATTCGGTTAATTTTAAAAAAAGTAGCATATAACATAGAAATCTAGCATATTCTTTATTATAAAGTATCAAACGTTGCATGAACCAACAAAAAACTTAAATGTCTCACTTAAATATGATGCTACCAATAACAGTATCTTCTTTCTCACAATGAAAATGTATTCAAAAAAAAAATAAAGCATATTCAACATTTGTCATAAGCAAAATATTTCTAATAAAATCCTTTCATAGATTTTTTTATTATTTTTTACTATATTGTACTATTTTCATTCTGAATTATTTTCATTATTATATATTATAGACTTTTTTTTCGAAAAAATTTCTTATAACAGCTTTTTTTTTTTCTTTTTCTTTCTCTTTCTATTTAAACTACACATACATAATACCTACACCTTATCTCATTTACTACGTGTATCAATCATTCATTTAAACTCATCGGTTGAATAAATACATCGCACAAAATATCAACAAAATATTGCAATATATTTTATTGTGTAAAGATACTTTTAGAAATGTCAGATCGATTATTTAAATAATGAAAAAGAAAAAAAAGGAAAAAAATAAAAATATAATAATTCTAAGACATTTTTATAATAACTTTTTTTGCAACCAAAGAAAATTTAATTTTTTTTTTAAAAGACAAATTATAATAATTTCTTTAAGACTTTTTATTCTTGCGAAAATATAATGCAATAGAAAAATTTAATCTTGAATTTCAAGATCAAAAATATTTTTGTTTGCATTTTTATTTACAAATTTCTTTTTTATAAAAGAAAAAATATAAATAAAATAAATACTATTTTTAGTGAAAAATATTCGTGAAGTTGTTCATGAAAATCAATATTTTATTATAAGTTTATCAAATATTGATTTGTTTAATAAGTTATGTAATTTAATATTAATTGTTAATGATATTACTATAAATTATGAAAAATTTAAAAATTATTAGATTTTTGTAAACATTTGATTTTAAATCCAGAAATACAATATCTTTTTCTTTATTTTCCTATTCTTTAAATAATTTTAAAATTATGAGCATTTTTTTCTTTATATAATTTACCTTATCAATATGGTAAAAGTAAGAATACCTAAACTCATAGTTATTATTGCTATAAATATAAAAATATTTAAATTGTCTTGGTATTGAATGGTAGAATAATAATCTAACGAAATAATGCTTATCATTATTATGCTAGACGTAATTAATGTTTGTGTAACGCAAAAAAAAGTTTTTTGGTAATTTTTCTCAATTCCAAATGATTCTAAAGTATTGTCTATTTGTTCACATCTTGCAATAATTTTTCTCGAACGCTATAATGAAAAAGGAAAAAAATTGTAAGAAATACGTAAATGTTAGAAAAATAAAAAAAATATAATATATAATGTTAATATTTCTTATATTTAGTTTTAGTTATAAGTCACTTTTTAATTTTAAAGACAAAATACAGAATTGAACATTAGATATAGATATATCATTTGTAATTTTTTATATAATGTATTAATAAATTAATGTATTAATTTTTAATATAATGTATTAATAATGTTATAAAATGTTAGATATTGTTATAAAACACAGTAAATACAATTTTTAAAAATTTCTTGTTATGTATAAATTTAAATATAATATTATATTATTGAAGTTGATTTAAATGCGTTAATGATAATCTATGATTAAAATTAACTACAATAATATTTGCGAACATGTAATTCAAATGAAAGTCTGAACATTTATGTGAATATTTTATATGACTTTTACAAATCTTAAAAAGAGAGGAAATGCATATATGAGTCTAATAAAGAATCAGATTTAATTTATCATTTAATTTTATTCAATATTTATGATAATTATTTTGAAATTTTATTTGTGAGAATTAATAAGAATAATAACAATATAAAAATTGACAAAAATCAAGATGTTAAAATGAACACAATTATATATACTAATTAAAAATTTTCTTCAACATTTCTATTTCATTTAATTATCTTATTATCTTATTATTTATCATTATATATTTTAATTTAAAATACTTACTTCTGTATTCAGCATTCCAAGAACTATAAAAACCATGACGCATACAATATTAATGTATGAAGCCAGTTTATAACTGATTTCATTGTAAGCAAACCATCTTTTATAATTTATATTTATTATTATATTTAAAAATACAATATATAAAATAATGCATGTGCCAGCGTATATTATACTCCAGCTATATCGTAATTGTTTTTTTGATTCAAATATACGTAGGGCAAATATCTCATTAATGATAATAATATGTATTAGCGAAGCATATTGAGTTTTTGGTGTCCATGCTAAAATTTTTGTCTTAAATGCCTCAATTATGTCTAAAAGCACAGAACACATATTAGAATTCTGATAAACAAATTTATAAAATAATAATTCTAGATTTCTATATAGAATTATATAATTTTTATAATTTTTATAACTATATAATTATATAATTATATAAACTATAATTTCATAAAAATAATTATATAGTATATAGATTTATTTAAATATTAATGTAATATAATAAAAGAATAATAACAAAATAATTTACGAAAATTTTTTATTAGTTGATTTTTATAAATGTCTCAAATATCTTTATAAAGTAACATATAAATAAGAAAACATGAATCAATGTAAACAATTTAGAACTATCAGTGAGATGAACTTCTTTTACAAAAATAATATTTCTCTATTATTTCGTTATTACATATAAAAAAATTGTTTTCTTACATGAGAATTCATATTAATATTTACTTACCTTTCATGTTCTTCTTAATTTTGTTCATATAAGAAATAAGTATACTTATTAATAAAAAAAGTTATATTTAATTATTTTAAAAAATAAATATTAAAAATTTAAAAAATATTAATTAATTTTAAAAAATTCGTATTTCTTTTATTAATTATCAATTTCTTTTTTTATGTTTTTTTTTTTTTTAAATTACTACATAGTATTGCAAATTTTAAAATGAGTAGGTTTATCTGTTTGTCTATTATTATAGTTTCCTTTGCATTTCATGACTATTGCAATTATCGTCGTATTATCTGAAATTGTATGTTTTCAACATAATTTTTCTTTAAGATTAATTGAATATCGTACATGTCATTTTATTTATTAATCAACGAAGATACAAATTAATATGAAGAATACAACTTTTTTTTAAAATACATTTTTTATAGAATACATTTTATAGAATACATTCCTCTTAATATAATTTTGTAATTCTTTTTTAATTGATAACTGTGAAAATTTGTATTTTTCTCTTTGAGAATTAAAATTAATTTGTTAAAAATCTTAGTGCTATTTACTGAGATTTTTATATGATTTTCTTTTATTTGAGATTAATTATATTTAAGATTAATTAATTTTTTTTATTCTTATTTCTTTTAGTATTATTTTTATATTTCTTATAGTTATTTCTTTTAGTATTTCTATAATAAATTTAATAACTTAGACTTCAATGTATATAGATAGAGTATGTATATAGATATTTTCATTGCGGATTGCTATTTTCTGATCTTTTTTTTTTTCTTTCTGAAAATTCATGTACTTTTTTTCGGAAATATAGTAAAAAAACTTTCGACAAGAATATTGATTTCTCTTAGTTTACATTTAATAATAGAATTAATGACTGCAGTGTAAGTTTTTAAGAATTGTCGCGATTTTCTATTGAATATATTATAGCTTTTGCTTTATTATTTATATATATTTTTTTATTAATGAAATAATTTTTGAGAACTTCATCGAAAATTAAGTGATAAATGCATTTTAATTAAATTCTTTGATTATACTATTTGGTATTTTAAATTTAGAAATTTACCAAACACACATACTAAATAATTAGTACACGGATTCAAAAGTAGTTTATTATTTTGCCTAGATATTGCTAACATAAACATTTTTTATCGCATCAATTATTCAAAAAAGAGGAAGATATATAGAATTGATTTCAGAAATTAAAAAGATTATTCATTGTTCGCGCCTGCAATAATAATGATGATGATAGATTAAGTGCATGGATATATGTATTGAATGCTTTTTCGATTGGGGTGTGTATATATGTGAAGAAGTTAGTGCTTGTGATTGTGATCTATTTTTTTCACGATAAGTGAATTATATTAGTACAGTCTATAAATATCCATAAAAAATCTGGATTTCTCATAATATCGTAATAGTAATCATATCCGACGATCAGAGTACGATACATAATTACAAAGAACTATCTATTTGTATCGATAATCAAAGTACGATCTGTTATGAAATATCATAATGATCTCTTTGTAAATATCCTCAGAAAATCAATTTCTCAATTCAATTGAGAGGATCAGTTTCCCGATAAGGCACAATAATAACCAATATCGCACTCAGTGCTAAACTCACGACATCCAAGTTAGAGGAAAATTCCTCAAATTAGAATGATATTGTTGTTGATTCAGCCGTGTCTGTAATATATTATCTTTGTGATCAAGCTCCTCTTCAACCAGGCTAAAGTGTGTCAAAAATATACAATTATAAGTGTCGATTAAAACGGTAACCATTTTAGATAATATTATCCTTTGTTTAGGCTTAATGGAAGTCAATAACCAAAAATAATAGAAAAGGTTTTCCATACAAGAAATTTTTTTGAATAAGTTTTATAAATCTCGCGAACAATAAGTGCTATCAGTTTCAATAAAAAATCGAAATTATGATGCATATAGAAAATGTACTTAGATTTAAGAATTGTTTTGATTAAATAATCAAAAAAGAAATTATATAATCATACACAAAAGATAGAAAAAACAATAAAATTAAAGAAGAGAAAAGATATTCAATTTGAAATATTTGTAATCAATAATGAAATATAATGGCTGCATCAGTGATGGGGATATATATCTAGTTTTGATGAATTTATATTTATAGATAATATAACTGTTGAAAGATAATATATAATATAATTAAATAGTAAATAAATTATATCAACTTTAAATTAGCTGTCAGATTATAAAATTGATTTATCGTGTATTATAGATTTCAGAATAATTACGGTACGCGTACGTTGAATAAAACATATGTTAAATGATTTTCTGATAGTTAAGAACGTAAGATATTACGTGAAATAGTTCAGTTTCCTGAACAGTTTCCTAAAAAAAAATATTAATTAATGTGTTTTGTCTTAATAATAATAAATAAATATTTATATTAAAAATAGTTTAATCTAATATATATATTAAGATTATAGATTAAAAAAGTGTTTAAATTCTAGCAAAATAATGTCATAAGTATAAAGTATAATTATAAAAACTTATTGTTTAATTATGAATATTGTTTAATTGTATTTCTTTTATTAATCCTTGCACTTACATTCAATTAAAAATCTATAAAAAATTTAATCTTAATTATTAATAAAAACAAAAGATGAATTAAAAAACCAATTAGCAAAGAAATAGCAAAAAATTAATATAAATTATTTATAGAAAAAATTCATAACATGCTAAAATTATATTATGTCAAGCACGATGTGATAAAGATAAAGCATATTATTCAATTTTTTGTTTCATTTAAATTTCAATTATTTGTAAGTTAATGAATGTATTTCGTATATATATATTTTTTCTTATCTTTTCTTTACATCAATTTTTTTTTTTTATTTATTCATTCTATTTTCAAACGAAAATAGAAAATATTCACAAATAAAGCTATATAATTTCACTTTGTGTAAATGAGATTATATATTCATCGCCAAAAGTATGTTAATAAGCTTAAAATGTAATATTTCACTAGTAAAATAAAAATGAGAATTAAATGAATTTAATAATTAATGATAATGTACTAATATCTAATTAGAAGATAAATCATATAAGAAACAAAAACTTATGATACAGGATACAGATTTAATATAAATTTTTGTAATTGTTTATAATTTCGTGAAGTCCTTTTACTTTCTATTAATTTATTTGATCAATTCCTAATTATTCATTTAATTTGATTTCTTAAGAAATAATAATTTATTATTTTTTAATGTTTTATTATATTTTATCTAAATGAAAGAAAATAAAATTAATATATTATGCAGGCTGAATTAGTATTATTTTTTCCTGAAAATTTATTTTTAAAAATTTTTCAATAATTTTATATAAATATATAAATATATAAAATCAACATCCTGTTACAAAATAGATAAATTTCGAATTGACGAGTCACAATTAACAATTAATATTAATTTATATTACATAACAATTATATTATATTGTTTATCAATAATAATTAAACTTTTATATTAAAAAGAAGATTGAAATTTTTTTCTTATTTTAAAAAAAATATAATATAATTTTAAAAGTTTTTCTGCAAATCCCTTGTTTTTTAAATAATTAGTAATCTTCTATATTTTACAAAAAT